GCGTGTTTTGCTACATCGTCATGCCATTCGGATTAAAGAACGCAATGGCAACCTTCCAGAGGATGATCGGGATGTTGTTCAAAGATGTGCTGGGTGTCACAATGGAAGCCTACGTTGATGACATCCTGATCAAAAGCAAAAAGAAGGAAAACCATGTCCTGGATATAGAAAAGGTATTCGGGATAATGCAAAAGGCGAATATGAGGCTGAATCCCAAGAAATGTGCGTTTGCTGTAAGAGGAGGCAAATTTTTGGGGTACATGATGAGCGAGAAGGGGATTGAGCCCAATCCAGAAAAAGTAAAGGCAATTGTGGACATGGAGGCTCCGAGAAATCTCAAGGAAGTGCAGAGATTGACCGGTCGGTTAGCAGCCCTGAGCAGATTCTTATCCAAACTGGCCGATCGAGCTATCACGTTCTTCCAAATCATGAAGAAAGCCAACCCTTTTGAATGGATGACCGAATTCCAAACGGCCTTTGAAGATTTCAAGACATATCTGTCTTCCCCCTGGTCTTGACAAAACCCGAACCAGGGGAACATCTGTATATGTACCTTGCTGTAGCTGACTTGGCCGTAAGCACAATATTGTTGAAAGAAGAAGATGGCGTTCAACGGCCAATCTATTTTGTGAGCAAGGCGTTGAACGGCCCGGAAACCAGGTACACCTTGCTAGAGAAGAATGTACTGGCCCTGATAGCTGCCATTAAACGTCTGGCCCCGTATTTCCAGACCCACCCGGTAACTGTGTATACTACCCAGCCATTAGCCACCATCTTGAGAAATCCTATGGCAAGTGGGCGCATTACCAAGTGGAGCCTCCTGATCGGGCAATACGAGGTAGATTTCAAACCCCGGCCTACTATCAAAGGGCAGGCCCTGGCAGATTTCATTGCAGAATGTACCGCCCGGCCCTCAGAAAAAGATTCAGAGAACAACGGGCTGGACAACTGGTGGGAAATGTATGTGGATGGAGCATCTAGTGCCAAAGGTTGTGGAGCTGGAGCTGTGATCACATCGCCCGAGGGGTTCAAAGCATATTATTCTATTCATTTTGACTTCAAGGTGACCAACAATGAGGCTGAATATGAGGCTCTCATTGCTGGTTTAAAGTATGCAAGGGCCCTGGGCGCCGATCGGTTAAAAGTCCGATCGGACAGTCAATTGGTGGTACATCAAGTAAACGGCACTGTTGAGGCCAAAGAAGAAAGGATGAAGGCCTACAAGGAAATGGTTGAGGAGCAGATACGTAAATTTGAACAGGTGGTGCTCGACCAGATATCCAGAATCGAAAATACTGAAGCAGATATCCTGTCCAAATTAGAGAATGCAGCGTTCGACGATCGGTCACAGGAGATCCCGGCTCATATCCAACGTTTTGCCCATCGGGAAACATTGGCAACCCCGTCAATCATGGTGCTCCAGATCGAGGCCATATCTTATGCCATCCCGAGCTGGGTCGTAGATATGACCAACTACCTGAAAGACGCAACCCTCCCACAAGATAAAAATCCTGCTTATCAAATAAAATGCATCCAGAGGAGGGCTTCCATGTTCGAATTGGTGGACGGGCAGCTGTACAAAAAGACATTTGGTGGGCCGTATCTGAAATGCCTCCCACCCGATCTAGCGGCAGCTGTAATGGAAGAAATTCATGAAGGTATCTGTTCCAGCCACCAATGGCGCAAGACACTGGCCAGAAAAATCATCTTGCAAGGGTATTATTGGCCAACTATCCAACAGGACTGCTTCGCGCATACTAGGAAATGTAAGGTATGCCAACTATACGCATCGGCCCCCGGACGGCCTGCCACTTTCTACACTCCAATGACGGTGGCCCTTCCATTCGCAAGATGGGGAATAGACCTGTTAGGTCCTCTACCTACTGCACCTGGAAACAACAAGTACATCATTGTGGGGATATATTACTTCACCAAATGGGTAGAGGCCGAGCCATTGGCCAGCATCACAGATGTTAAATGCCAGAAGTTTGTCTGGAAAAATATCATTTGCCGGTTCGGAATCCCTGAACAGATTGTAACTGACAATGGAAGGCAGTTCGTGAGCCGGAATTTTGAGAACTACCTGGTCAAATGGGGAATCAAGCATTCCAGAGCGTCCGTCGCATACCCTCAGGCAAATGGCCAGGTAGAAAATATGAACCGAACTATCATGGATGGTATGAAGAAGAAGCTGGAAGAATACTCCTCATCGTGGCCTGATCAGTTGAATTATATTCTATGGACATACAGGACTACACCCCGAACGGCCACGGGAGAGACTCCATTTGCCCTTGCCTATGGTTTCCAGGCCAAAGTACCAACGGAGATCCTAGTTCCTACACACCGAACGGTGCATTACAGCCCAGAACAGAATGAAGACAACTTACGGGCCGAAATGCATTTCATAGAAGAAAGAAGGGATCTGGCAGCGGCACGAATGGAAGAGTATCACAGAGCCACGAGAAGATATTTTGACAAGCAGGTTAAAGTTCGTTCAATCGAGGTAGGGGACCTGGTGCTAAGAAAGAGAGAGAAAAGCAAACCGCCCGAAGGGGGCAAAATGGCACAAAATTGGGAAGGCCCCTACCAAGTATGTAAGAAGTATGCTTCAGGAACGTTTAGCCTACAAAATACTGAAGGCCGACCGGCAGGAACTTGGAATGTGGAGCATCTGAGGAAATTTTATCAATAAAAACGGCTGTTGCCACCTCTTAAATATATATATATATATATATATATATATAGAGAGAGAGAGAGAGAGAGAGAGGGAGACATAACTTCCACACAAACTCAGCCCATGGTTAACTCGATCATTCCGGATGACCGAATGACGAACGGGTTAACAACATGGAAGGAAAATCAATTCTCAGCTTAGAGAGTTTTTGACCCTAGATTTATGAAAGAATAAAAGGATCAAAAACGGCTTGAAGAATTGAGGCTCAGAAAATCGGTGCCCGTGGTTAACTCAATCATTCCTGATGACCGAATGACGAACGGGTTAACAACATGGAAGGAAAATCAATTCTCAGTTTAGAGAGTTTTTGACCCTAGATTTATGAAAGAATAAAGGGATCAAAAACGGCTTGAAGAATTGAGGCTCAGAAAATCGGTGCCCGTGGTTAACTCAATCATTCCGGATGACCGAATGACGAACGGGTTAACAGCTTGGAGGGAGCTGAGTCATCAACTTAGCCAAAGTCGACCCTGTAATTACGTACGGGCAAAGGGATCAAAACGGCTTGGAGATGGTGTCAAGACTGTAAGATATGGATTAACCGAGCGACGTTCGGATAAGGTACGGATTGTCGCCCGGGGAATCGGAACTATGGTTTTGAAAAATCTCGCCTCAGTCATAAAACTTGACTTGGAAGCTAGTCGCCCTTTTAGCTATAAGTAAGGAATGACCAAAATTCGGTGATCTTGCTTACAGTTCGAAAAGGGTTACCTCAGACCCCTAATATGGATGATACGAGCCAGAGAGAACAGTTCGGAATGCATCGGAATTATGGGTTTGGAAGGGAGATAGCCTCACCTCAGCTTGTTAACGCATGAAATCATTCTGGATGACCGAATGACGAACGGGTTAGCAGTTTGGAGGGAGCCCCTATCCCAGTTGAGAGTTTGACCCTGTGGTCATGATCAAAACGGCTTGGAGGAATTCACCTCAGCTAAGAGTTTTGAACCCGTGCGTCACGAACAGGAAAAGGGATCAAAACGGGTTCGGGAAAGGTGTCAGAACAATTGTGAAGAGAGTCTCACCTCAGCTTGTTAACACGTGAAATCATTCCGGATGACCGAATGTCGAACGGGTTAACAGTTTGGAGGGAGCCCCTATTCCCAGATGAGAGTTTGACCCTGTGGTCACGATCAAAACGGCTTGGAGGAATTCACCTCAGCTAAGAGTTTTGAACCCGTGCGTCACGAACAGGAAAAGGGATCAAAATGGGTTCGGGAAAGGTGTCAGATATAAAGATACATGAGCCGAGTAAGGTTCGGCCACGTAGAAAAGATTGTGAACAAAAAATCAAAGGAAGAATAGAAAAAATACAACAGACAAAGGAAACAAGTCCAGTTTATTCTTCGACATTGCTAGCCGGAATGTACAAGAAGAACGAATATACAAGAAAAGAGACAACAGATAAGGAAAGAAGGCTACACTACTGGAGGATTGCCGTTCGGGGAGAATGTAGGCTGAGAGCTCCCTGCCTGCACTGCATCGTCAGGCGCTGCTTTGGATCTTTTCTCCATGACGCGATCGTACGTATTCCCGAACAGATCGTCGAAGCCTAATTCATCAGGATCGAACGACTTGGGGAAACACTCTAAGATCAGTTCAAGATTCCTGTCCAGAAGCAGGTCCTGACTTTGCTTTACGGTTTTCTCGGTCATGACATCCAAGAAAGATTTCCCTTCCGGCGTGCTGTCCAGGAGGTCGATCCCTGCCTTGATAGGATCTGAGCTCTCACGCAAAAATTGGCCAAGGTGAGGACCTAGGAATTGCCGGGCCGTGTTCTCCAGAGCGACGTTCAGCCCCTTGCCCCGTTGAAAATCCACTACCGATTGCTGAGCAATCTGGGAAGTATTGACCGTGTAGGGTTCGGGCAGATGGTCGCCAACAACCTTATCAAATTTGATGCCAGCAGATTCGGCAGCCCGCACCTTGGCCCGGAGTTCTTTAAGCTCCCGGTCGCGACGACGGGACATCTCCTGCATCTCGGCTAGAGCATCTTTTGCCTTCTCACCCTCTTTGGCCTGCTCTTGGAGGTCGGCTGCTAACTTCCGAGCGGCAGAAAGGAGGACCTGGCCGTCATCCTGATCGCTGGCCAGGGCTTTCATCTCCTTCTCAGCAGCAAGAAAGGCCTTGTGATAATACACGCCAGCCTGAAAACAAGGTTACAATGAAAGTCAGATAAGGTAAAGCATGAATAGTAGAAAGGCATGGGTCGGAATGAAATGTACCTTGAGTGCTTCCTGGTGACCTGCTTCGAAAAGGTCCGACCAGTGAGTCAAGTTGGTGAAGCTCGGGGGAACCTTGATCGCAGTATGACACCACATAGAAGATGGCATCAGCCCGAACAGATACCTCACTTCTGATCTGGGCCCCATATTTGAAAATTCAACAAACATCCGATCATCGATCGGTGTGGCAGTAAGAACCGGAGTTGGTTTGTTGGCAGGCACCGATCTTTTGGGCTCGACCTCCGGCCCGGTCAAATCAACCACATGGTCGATCGGGATCAGGTGATCGGCTATCATCTTCTCCTTTCCTTTAACAGAAGAGATAGAGCGCCGGACGGGTATGAGAGATATCACACCTACAAAAGAGAAATAAAAGATAAGAAATTGAATTGTGAGAGCGAAGGATGATCGGGTTAAAACCCTACTATGCTTACCGATTCCAGCAGATAACATGCTCGAGGTAGTGACAAAGCTGCGAAGACTTCTGGTCCCTCCCATCCGCAAAGACTCAGCTTGGGAGCGTAGAACGGCGTCCACCCTGGGCAGAGAATCCCGAACGGGGTATGCGTTCCACCTATCCGGGAATGGCAGAGAATCACCTACCCGAACGAACAAAAACCGCTCCTCCCAGTCAGCCTGCGGGGTAACGTTCTCTGTGAACAACTGACGATCAGAACGAGCTACCAGTTTCAGGTACCCGGTCGTCCAGTAGGGCTGATAGCAGTAATGATAAAGGAACAGATCGACGCTTGGGGTGATCCTCAACTCGTGGCACCAAATAATGAAGCCTGTCAGAATGCGGTAGGTGCTGGGCACGAACTGAGCGGGCAGTACAGCAACCCGGCGTAAGAACTCCACTATGAATGAATGGAGAGGGAACCGAAGTCCAGCAGTCAGAGCATCAAGGTGCACTAGCACGTGCCCCGGTCGGTGCCTCATAGGGTGTCGAATAAATCCGGCATAGTATTCTCTTGGTGGGGGCAACAACTGGCTAAGTTGCCGTTCGACATCTTCTGGGAGACGTTGTTTGTGTTTGCGTATGCGATTGAAGTGTAGGGCAATGCGGGGTAGCCGCTCGGGCATCCCCTTGTTATAAACTTGGAGGTCATCTCCGGACAGACATCCGTCCTCCTGTGGCAGTTCGATATCTTTGCTGGCCTGAGGATTGGCGGGTTTAGGTGTTTGGGACGAAGAGCCTTCGGCCTGGTTACCGGCGGATGTTTTGCTTTTACGAATCAAAGGCATCTCTTCAGATTCTGAGCTAGAGGAGTAGTACATAAAAACGCTGGAGGAACTCTGGGAATTCTAGAGAGAGAAGGCTTGAGAGTATGCAAGGGAATTCTGTGAATTCTAGAGAGAGAAAGCTCGAAAGAAAAATGAGAAAACTGCAGGAGAAATTAGGGGAAGCGCCTCTCTATAAATAGGGAAAGTGCCGCACAAATCCCTAATCCATGAGCAACACGTGGCATTGGGTGGTTACGATTAATCTGGGGCATTTATGATTCATTTTTTGTGCACGTACCCCGGACAGGCTTACAGAGGATTAGTAGAGATCACAGGGACTTGTTGTTTAGAAAAATGCTAAGTCCTAAATGTCAACCTGAAGCCCGACCGGCCATCAGTGTTGTAAAAGGTTATCTGAAACCAAACGGCTAAGTCCCAAAAATTGGTTTGAAGCCCGAACGGCTATCAATGTTATGAAGAAGCCCAGGTGCAAAGAAAACGGCTAAGTCCTAAAAGTTGACCTGAAGCCCGACCGGCTATCAACGTCATAAAAGCTATCCTAAGGATTGGTTTGAAGCTCGACCGGCTATCAACGTCGTAAGAGATTATCTGAAGCAAGAATGTGCTAAGTCCTAAAAATTGGTATGAAGCCCGAACGGCTGAGTACCAGAGAGAAGGGGTTTTTCCTTAAATAAATCATCAGAACTTTCTAATTCCCGAACGGCGATCAACGACATTAAGAGTAGTTGAGCAAGAAATAAAGTTAGGAAATTGATTAAGTCCTACAAAATGGGCCGAATCCCGAATGACGAGTAAATCATGCATTAAAGACAGAAAAGATAGTACACAAAGCTTCATGCAAAAAAGAGATATATATTCATCAGCTCTACTGGCCGAGAAATACAGTTAAGGTTTTTTGTAAAGAAAGAACAAAAAGGGGTTACAGTTGCTAAGACTACTAAGTTACTACTCTATTGCCCTGCCCCATTGTCTTCTTCATCACCCTCCTCATCCGAGTCAGTTAGGGGATCAGGCTCCTTTCCCGCCTCCCGATCAGCAGCCCATTGTAAGTCTCTTTGATATTTCTCATATTGAGCTTCAACTATGGGCGCCTGAGGGAGATCAGCAAGCTCAACCGGCCTCCCTAGCCATTCTTGAAATTTGGCGATAAAGGGAGCCATGATGTGCTGACAGCCCATGACGTACAAGGATCGAGCCAGGGAATCATTAAATTTTTCCCCCTGGGGTCCTGATCGAGCAATTTGACCCCCTCGCTCCGACGGGCGTCACCCGTGGAGAAATGGTCAAGATAATCACCAAAGGTGACTGGGAGTTGCTGCTGTGCGAAATCTTTCTTCAAAATAGCAAACTCATCAGACCCTTTAAATGACTCCCGAACGGCGGACAGGTCAACCTGTATTTCAGCAGGGCCGTCCGGGATGCGAGGAGCGTGCTCTTCGAATTTAACCAAGGCAGCTTCTGCAGCATGGACCTTGGACTGAGAAACTCCGAGCTGAACCCGATGCTCGCCAAGCTCCGATTCAAGACGTTTCTTCTCCTCAGCATAGGCCTTCCGCTCGGCCTCCAGAGCAGCAAAAGCAGCTGCTGCATTCTGCTCCGCGGAACTCTGAGCAACGATCAGCTCCCGCTCCTTGGCCAACCGAGCTTCCTTCAGCTACAGGCTGTAAAGCCCAACCTGCAGAATGACATTCAGGGAATGAAATGGGGAAGAGAAATTGTAGATTAAGAAAGATTTAAACTATGGAATGGCAAGATACCTTCAGAGCTGCCAAGGCAAGGCATTCCTCGGACTGCTCGACCGATAACTTGGGGACGGTGAAATTGTTGAAGAAGGCAGAGGTAGATCAGATTTGACTTGCCGAACAGCCACCTCTTTCCACAACATCATGAACCGGATCCGCCAGGGAAATCCGGTCAACCTGGCCAGATAACTGAACGGTGGGTGTTTCACCCGTACCCTGGCCGGTCTCTGGAGCAGCTTGAAAATGCTCGGAAAATTGCTGCAGTTGATTAGAGCCAAACCGATCATCGACCAGCATAGCATCAAATTGATCCTGATGGACCTGCTGTATCGACTGTGGCTCTGGAAGCGGTTGAGAAGACCCAGCATCCTGGGCAGGAACAGTAGAGGGAGTAGGTTGGGGGTTCTTCCTGGCCTTTTTTCGCTTACCGACCCCACCAGCTGCCATAACTCTGATGTTGTCCATAGGTAAATCTGGGTTTGGTGCTGAAAAATGACAAAGGGAAATGTTAGTATCGAGCGGCCTTAGCGTGTGAGAAACTAGAAAAAAGAAAAAAAAAGAACGTTTCTCGCACGGGAAGGACCGCCCGGACCATGGCACTTGGTTTCTCAAAACAAGTAAACCCAAGAGAACGGGCAGTACCTATCCCGGCCGTAATGAGTCGATCGGGAGTCAGATAACTCATGATGTCCATGCATTTATCCTTCTCCACAGCAAGCACGTCCTTGTAAATTTCTTCGGTGAGGACAGGATCAGGAGTCTTGCGGGGGAAGGCATTCCATTTACGGGGAATTAGGCCGTCCGGGACAGACACGAAGAAAAAACGGTCTTTCCACCCTTTGATTGAAGTCGGGTTTCCTTTGAACAGGATGTGTCCCGTTCGGGCACTAGTGGCCAGATAACCGTGGGTTTGTTGGGGGGCTACTTTGAAGAATTGATGGAAGAGTTCTAGGGTTGGTCGGGCGCCGGCATCTTTGCAACGACAAATGAAACCCGCCATTGCCCGATAGGAGTTCGGCATAATCTGGTCCGGTACAACTTCGTAGAAATTGAAGAAAGAAATGAAAAAGGGGTGTAGCGGAAATCTAAGGTCGGCCCTAATTGAGTCAAAGTGGACTATGGTCATTCCAGGCCTATGACGCATTGGGTGAAGCCTAGCTTGCAAACGGAAATCCACCGGGTCAGGGATAAGGGCCGGAATTTCGGCCCTATTGTGAGAGGTCAATTTCTGCCGCCTCTCCCTAATCAATTTTAGGTCAAGGGTATGGCGAGGAACATCGTTGGGACGTCCGGCCGCCATGGAGGCTATTTCGTCCTCGGATTTGGTGTCGTCGGAATCCTCACTGGAGGAAGAAGAAGTGCTAGGGAGGTCCTCCGCCTCAGCCCTGGTATTCGTCGCCGGTTCAGTAGAAACACCGGCAAACGGAACGGTGATGACATCCACAATGGCGGCATCACGGTCATCTCCATGAGAGGCCATCTCCGAATCAGAGGAATGCTCTTTGGGGCTCATCTCGGTCGAAGCCAGAAAAGAAGATAGGGAATCCGGAGTTGGGAAATTGCCTGAGCAAAGGAAGTAGGGAGAAAATTGCAGAGGAAACAACGAAGGCCAAGAAATTGCAGAGTCGAAACCCGGAATTGAGAAGTTAAAGGCTAATTTATAGCCTTGAAACCGCCGTGTCGAGAACCAGTCAGAGAGCGACACGTCACTAGGAGCATTTAAGCTAAACACGTGTCTAATGAAAAGACTAAACGACGGTTATCATGATGAATATGGGGAAATGAAGCGGCAGCCGTCGAATCGCAGCATGGGGAACTGATTACTTCTGTACCCCGATCGCCATTCGGGGTATTATAACATTGATATACTTCCTAATGCACTCACTTCGTTCGAGACATCGGAAGTGGGGGACTTGTGTTGGGATATTGACCTAGAGGCCCAATACCCAGATCGGAAAGGCCCAAGATATCTGGCCCAAGCAACGGGCCCATCACTCTATGATGAGTAGATCCAGTAAGAAAAGATACCGAACGGGGTTCGGTCCAAATAAAGGTTGGCCCAGTAAGAAGACATGCCGAACGAGGTTCGGGCTATATATCATACTTGGGCCAATTTGACAGCATCTTTAGTACAGTCCAACATCCCGTTCGAGCAACGGCCAACCAGCAAGTGGCCAGGTGCAATTAATGTCAGACTATGACATCAGCAAGTGGAAGCATGGATGACCAAGTCGGTGGAACAACGGCCAATCAGCATGAGGCAGCCCATGCTCTCCATTAGTATAAATAGAAGGTTTCAAGTCATTGTAAGGGTTAGCATTTCAATACTCAAGCTCTAGAATAACATCATTTGCTCTTATTTCTTGTATTAAAGCATAGTTTCCTACTTACCGATCGGGAAATTCCTTGTAATCAGATTGGTTAATTAATACAAGTGGACTTTCGAGTTTTAGTTAGTTCAGATCTTATATTTCTTTATACACTTTGATTCTGGGCCATTCCTGATATATCCAAAGTTCGTGTTGGGCTTTCGGATCTACGGGATTTACCCTCAACAAATATTATGACGGGGCGATGATGAGCCGACCGTTATATAGAGGTGATGGTCACAATTCAGGAAGGGATGGCGAGCCCAATCGCTAGCTCAAGACTCTCGACGCTGAGGAAACCAGTCTTGAGATAGATAATCACGTCAAGGCCGAGGGGCCGGTTGCGATGTGCGGATGGCGATGAGAAGGAGCCAATCCGATAATATGATGACAAGGCGATGATGAGCCGACCGTCATATAGAGGCGATGGTCACCATCCAGGAAGGGATAACGAGCCCGGTCGCTACCTCAAGACTCTCGACGCTGAGGAAGCCGGTCTTGAGATAGAGCATCACGCCATAGCCGAGGGGCTGGTCGTGATGCGAGGACGGCGGCGATGAGGAGCCAGTCCTATAATATGATGACGGGGCGATGATGAGCCGACCATCATATAGTGGCGATGGTCACCATCCAGGAACGGATGACGATCCCGATCGCTAGCTCAAGACTCTCGATGCTGAGGAAGCCGGTCTTGAGATAGAGCATCACGCCATAGCCGAGGGGCTGGTCTTGATGCGAGGACGTCAGCACTGGGGGCCAATCCAAATGTCCATGCAGCGATCCTTATCCATAAAGTGAGAGGAGGGGGTGGTCTTCAGAGTATGATGATCACGTTGAGACCGAGGGGTCTGCTGTGTCGATATAAAAGATCACGTTGAGACCGAGGGGTCTGCCACGGTGTGAGGATGACGACGATGATGAGCCGTTCCAATAAATGATGATGAGGCGATGATGAAGTCGATCGTCATACAAAGGCGACGATCGCTTATCCGGGAGGGGAATAGAGAGCCCAGTCACTGGCTCAAGACTCTCGGCGCTGTGAGCCGGTCTTGAGATGAATAATCACGTCGAGGCCAAGAGGCCAATCGTGATGTGCGGACGGCAATGCTGAGAAGCCGATCCGATAATATGATGACGGGGTGATGATGAGCCAGCCGTCATATAGAGGCGATGGTCACCATGCAGGAAGGGATGGCGAGCCTGATCGCTAGCTCAAGACTCTCGGCGCTGAGAAAGCCGGTCTTGGGATAGATAATCACACCGAGGCTGAGGGGCCAATGGTGATGTGCGGACGGCGATGTTGAGAAGCTGATCCGATAATATGATGACATGTGATGATGAGCCGACCGTCATATAAAGGCGACAGACACCATCCAGGAAGCGATGGCGAGCCCGATCGCTAGCTCAAGACTCTCGGCTCTAAGGAAGTCGATCTTGAGATAGATAATCACGCCGAGGCCGAGGGGCCATTCGTGATGTGCGGCCGGCAATGATGAGAAGCCGGTCCGATATATGATGACGGGGCGATGATGAGCCGACCGTCATATAGAGGTGTTGGTCACCATCCAGGAAGGGATGGCGAGCCCAATCGCTAGCTCAAAACTCTCGGCGCTGAGGAAGCCGGTCTTGAGATAGATAATCACGCTAAGGCTGAGGGGTCGGTCGTGATGTGAGGATGACGGTGATAAGGAGTCGGTCCTACAATCCATGCAACGGTCGCCATCCGGTAAAGGAATAGCTAAGACTGGTCTTAAGATAATGCATCACACCATAGCCGAGGGGCTGGTCGTGATGTGAGGATGACGGCGATGAGGAGCCGGTCCTACAATCCATGCAACGTTCGCCATCCGGTAAAGGAATGGCTAAAACTGGTTTTAAGATAGAGCATCACGCCATAGCCGAGGGGCTGGTCGTGATGTGAGGACGACGACGATGAGGAGCCGGTCCTAATATGAGGACGAGGCGACGGACGCCTATCTGAATATGAGGACGAGGTGATGGATGCTTGTCTGAATATGAGGACTACGACGCTGATGAGTTGGTCCAAATACGATGATGGGGCGACCATCATATGGTGGCGACGGTCACCATCCAGGAAGGGATTGTGAGCCCGATCACTAGCTCAAGACTCTCGGCGCTGAGGAAGCTGGTCTTGAGATGGATAATAACGCCGAGGTCGAGGGACCGGTCGTGATGTGAGGACGACGGTGATGAGGAGCCGGTCCAAATAAATGATGACAAGGCATTGACGCCAGACTGAACATGAAGGACGACGAAGCCGGTCCGATGATGGACTAAGCTTGGACGCTCGTCTGAAGATGAGGGACAGCGATGGGCGCTCGTCTGCAGGTGAGGGATTGCGGTGGACGCTCTTCTGAAGATGAGGGACGACGTTGGGCGCTCGTCTGATCCACATGTATGGTCTTGCTTCGTCCGTAATGCATAGTATTTGCCTGATATGTACTTAGCAAAATTTGTGGTTTGATTTGTGGGGATTTTATTTTTATCGCTCGAGGCCGGCGAGTGTGCGGTCCTCGGATTCCCTCTTTTATTTGTGGGGATTTCGCTCGAGGCCGGCAAGTGCACGGTCCTTCGACTGTCCCTCTTTTATTTATGGGGATTTCGCTCGAGGCCGGCGAGTGCTCGGTCCTTCGGATGTCCCTCTTTTATTTTCTTCCTCTTTACTTCTTTGAGCGAGGAGTGGGTATCCTCATTTTAGGCTTCGGGCGAGGGGGTTGATATTCCTTTGGCCGGTAGGGAGTCCTACTAGATCGTCCCATGATCTCAGGGAGCTCCCGTCGTCTATTTACGACGTGGGCTAAAGCTTTTGGTCGGTTACCGACGACTGCCATTTCCCAGTCCCAAGTTTGGTGATTTTTGTCACCTCAGACATGATTTCAGGCGTGTCGTCCTGCGATTTAGCGCGAGGACGACGCGGTGAGCTTCCCATTTCAAGATGTGGACCGTTTGCGGGTCCAACGTCTTGAGACATCGTCGACCATGCCTGAGTGTTTCGCTCTAAGGGGTCGATACGATGTGCTGTGTCGGCCATACCTGAGTGTTTCACTCTAAGGGGTCGATATAATATGCGGTATCTTTTGCTTAAATTTACAAAATAAGCGGAACACAATAGGTGCGTTGTTCATGACAACGGCTTTTGGTCGACGCGATTAACGTCTCGAAGAATGAGGTGTATCGTTTACCGCTTTTAGGCATAATGCCGTGTGCGGCCGATAGCGGCTCTTATCTCTAGGTTCCCGAGTTACCAAATAAAGGTGACCGGGGTAGGCCGAGGGGCGTAAATACAATCTGAATCATCAAAAAAAGATGTTCAGTGGACTATAGCTCGGGTTGCACCACTTTGGGGATTTTAACCGGCTAGAAAAATGATAATTATACTATTATCTCCATATATGTAATGCATAAATAGGAGAGTGTTTTCTATACATAGCTCCATTTAAGCCATAGCTGCGGTCTGGATGATAGAGATTCCAAGCCCAGGAGAATTGATTGGCCCAATATTGCTGGCCCAGCAGGTAATTTGAGCTTTAGATAACCTCTGCTTTATAATTCAATCCGCTGGGGAGGAACCGGGTCGCGATAAGCTAAGGGCCCTTTGAATTCGACTTTGGCCGGCGCGAAATGGGCAAGACAAGGCCCTTGGAGCAGATGAGGCGTTCCAAGTCCCCATGTTTTAGACCTACGCCAGTTCGTAGGGACAGCCCGTGGGCGTGGACGCTGAGGGTTCGCCAGCCGGGGGTATCGAGGCTAGACCGATGTGGGACCCCCTGCTGCTCCCAGGACGAGGGCAAAGTCTCCCCGGTGTTGGACTCGATTTTGTCCGAACGAAGGACCTGCTTGGCCGAGGCGACTCTGATCAGCGGTCCTGCCCGGGCCGGATGTCCTGCTTTGACCGAGGTGGCCCGGAGTTCCCGTTTTGGCTGAGGGACGCCGTGGGATGGTGGAGCCGTCGTGGTCGATGGGAGCTAAGGAGCTTGCCTTGGCCGTTGAGGTCGAGGAGCGTTGTTGAAGCCAGACCGACGTTGTAGGTAGAGGTGACCAACATGTTTGCTTTGTGGGTCCCAACTGCTTTCCCATACTACTGTATACAGGGGTTGCTTTCGTGGCTTTGGCCGAAGGGTTTCTCCAAGGGTGGACAGAGGATATTGCTCTGCAGCCGAGGGGAAACATCACTCTTGTTTCCAAGATGTGGTAGCATCGCTCTTGTTTTGGTTTGGCCGATGCGTTGTCTTTCTCTTTGTTCCGGCCAAGGCGAAGCTGAGAGCGTGTTATGTGGAAATTACTACGGCAGTCTGGCCGATGGTACAAGCGTGTTCTGCGGAAATCACTACGGCAGTCTGGCCGATGGTACACTTCTGGCCGATGATGTGTTATTGGCCGATGATGCACTGTTGGCGGATGTGTTGCTGGCCAATGATGCACTGTTGGTCGATGATGCACTACTGGTGGATGTGTTGCTGGCCGATGATGCACTGTTGGCGGGTGCGTTGCTGGCCGATGATGCACGGCTGGCCGATGATGTGTTACTGGCCGATGGTGCGCAGGTTCCGTGACTGAGTATTGTCTTTGGCCGAAGGGACGGCCTTTCCCTGTTTGAGCCGATGGTTTTTTTTGTTTGGCCGAAGAGAAACCACTTGCTACCCGAAGATGAGGGTCCCATTTGGCCGTGGTGAAACTTAGGCCGGCATTTGGCCGAAGAGAAGCCACCTGTTGCTCGAGGATGAGGGTCCCGCTTGGCCGAAGGATAGCTTGGGGTGTCCGCTTTCTTTTGTTTAGAACCTGGACTTCGGTTTGTACTTGGCGGTTGGCCGGTCATTGGACGAGGGGCTGCCACTGGTTTTACTTTTGTTTTGGCCGAAGGTGTAGCTGGGACTCAATTTATCAGGGTGGCATCATGTGTGTTAAATGTGTCAATTTTACTCCTGTCCTGCTCGGTAATAGCTAAGGGTGTGGTCTCCTCATTTGTTTGACCAGCACATAGTTTGTGTGGTCTCCTCATTTTTTGGCCTTGTAATTGAATTGTAATAGGAATGAAGCAATTTCTGACCGAGGGGTAATGTTACCCCACCTGGGATCGAGATGGCATCTTGCCATTAATTGATTGAGAGGATCTCACTTGATTTTCTCTAACTCTCTATGAAAGCACTATTTGATGGATTACAGGGACCCAAACTAATAAATGGAGAGATTTGAGCTATGAAAGTGAAGAAGATGATAGAATAGTAGAAATGTGTGTGAATATTGGTTCTAGGGTTACAAGTGGCTCCAAGAGGAGTATAAATAGAGAAATAATGGATCGGGCCGCTGATATGGGCCCGATAGGCCCAACTACATAAAAGACTAATCTAGTACATACAGATGATATATGAATAGTACAATAATACAAAAGACATCCGATAAACGTGTGTGGGCCGCTGTCCAAGCCCAATAGTCGTGAGACCTGGGGGTCCGAGTCTATATACTCTATCATTAGTATTGTGTAACTCTGGTCTTGTATTGTCTGATTTGGGTTGGTCCCCCTGCCCTAACGAGAACGCCTTGACATGTTCAGTTTTTTAACAAAAATGACGACTTCCTATGTCCGTGCGGAATTCAGTTATGCTCATCTCAGTAAACGTAACTACAAGAGATATGGTTTACCTATATTATACCGTATAGATTAAATCATGTATGTCGATCATATCATATGCGACCCTCGACAAACCTCCGCAATGAAGCTCAAAGTGAGGTAGTATGACTAGTATCTAGTTCTTAGTTTTCAGGGGGCGGCTACATTCCCATTTGTCTGATGTGACTTTATTTGTCTTCATTGTGCGTCAAGCTAGGATTATTGTTCTAATAAATCCTTCGACACATATTTTGAAATTCAATGTAATTGATTCTTGACTTAAAATGTTACATTTTGTACACAAATTGCCTTTTTTATCTACTGCTTTCTTCACTGCCTACTGCAAAATATTTCATTCCCAACTAATGTGCCAATGTTGTATATATATGGAATGAATTAGATTGAACTGAAGTTTCCATTCCAAGCTGCTTGACCCAACTGGTTAGTAGCATTGAAGACTTAAACTGTTGTTATAGTTGGTACTTAGACTCACTATGATCCCTCTCAACTTTATCTTGCCACCTAAAATGGTTGCACACTTATCAAACAATTTGAATTTTGTGTCAATACTTACATGGCTATCAATATTTTAGGATTCTGTCGATGCTATTTTCTGTGTTAGTACCTTTGTGGGCCATGAAAAACGTTTTTACCGTACTTGAGCAGGCCTAATTAAGCCCCTTCCCCTGCAAGCCTCATGGCATGATCCAATGGGGCGAGTCGGTGACGGTTATGCATACAACCCTCGTTGGGTAATTTCCCGACCCTGTAACCTTACCCCGCAATACTTTTTATTTAAATCATAACCGCATCAACTGGTAACAAAATATAACAATAAGTAGTCATTTTCTTAAAGGGATCATTGATATTTGATTATAAAAAACAATGTATAAAAATGGCATCGCTTAGGCGAGTCTAGATGTGAGACCTCACTTAAAAGCCTCGTACACGTACAAAGCAAGGAAGAAGTTGACCTGAATTAATTTAAACCCGTAAAATCTTAAATTGGAAAAATTAAGAAAACAAGAAAAATATGATAATAACCAAACGAGACTCTAAAAGTATATCATGAACTATCTTTCAGTGAGTAAATCTATGTGTTTATAGAAATGGAAAAATCTCATCTTTTTTAGATGTGTGACGAATAACAGGAAGAAATGAAATTAAAATGCGGCAGGTATTGGGGCGAACACGTATAAAATCGTAACCGTCCCGTTACTCACAAAAAAAAACGACATTCTCTCGCCCCATATCTATTACCCGACCAATGCAATTTTCCTTATTTTGATCAGAGTGATTCAATGCAAATACCCATTGGATTTGCTTCAATGGTCATCCCTATGTAGCATATAGGAAGTTACCCGCACGAGTAGCTCAGTTGGTTGAGTTATCGTAACTTATAAAAAATGACTGAGTCATGGTAACTTATAACCTACCAAATAACTTGCCGGTGGAGGCGTGGAGACCCTCTAAGTTGGGATTCAACCTTTTGGAAGGACACTGATGGAGTATATGGCCCGGGAACCCCCGGCCCACAGACTACTACTACTCCAATAAAGGCCCAACAGGCCCAGAAAGCACAACAGGCCCAAATCACAGCGTCCAGAGTACCAAACAGCCCACAATGCGCACCTGGGGTGCCTTCGGCCCCCTGGCCGAAGGCTCTAACTCTCACAAGAGGGCCAAGACAGGAAAACAAAGTTACTGGGGAAAACGGCGAAAATCAGTAGCCCTCGGCACCTGGAGCCCTCGGCACCAAGGGGGTCCCCGGTACTCAGAGCCCTCGGCAGGTCCTCTACAGCCGAGGTCGCCTCTTCCGACACAATATCCGCTCCACACGCGTACAGATCACCGTACCCTGTACAACGTCCCATCCAACAGCCGCATTAAATGCGGCCACATGCGGTTGCCAGCGCCAACCAGTTGAGGTGACCCCTCGGCCAATGAACGCTTGACACGTGTCCCTGTCCGGCATTTATTGCTACTATAAATAGCACCCCATTTCCCCATTTGTAACCACGCTGAAAACGTTGCATACTTTCTAAATATACTTTCTCTCTCTATACTTACTTGCTCTGACTTCTCTCTTATTATTCCCCGTAATAACCCCTCGGATAAGCTACCCCCCGGGTACACGATCCATCATTTGGTGCTCTCGTTGAGAGGTCGAACAATCAAGTAAGAAACCCTCCCCCTCGACCAAACACAAAAACACCCATCTAAAATGGTGAGAACAACTCGTGCCAACTCCAAGAATGTAGAGGACAGGAACCTGGCCCTCGATGAGGTCGACGTCCCCGAAGCCTCCAACAGGGTTCCCGGGGGTGGCGTCATCGCCGGGTTGGACCAGACGGCTGTCGACCTACGCCAGCAGATTCAACAAAACGCCCCGATGCCCGCCTCGGCATCGAGGCCAAGAAAAAGGGCCGGAGCGAAAATCAGATTAGCCCTCCGGTCATTACCATCGACGTTCAATCGGCGCTCTCCGCCTTCATCCAGACGCTCACTCAGAACCCAGGTGCCTTCGGCACTTTGGTTCCCCTCCAACCTCAGGTGGGGGAGAATATTATGCCTCCCCCTCATCCACGACCCCTCGGCAACCCGGTCCTCCGGATGGGGAACTCCGAGGGGGTCGTGGCCCAAGATACGGCCTCCCAGGAAGTCCAGTCCCGGGACCGCCACAACGTGAACAAAGAACAACTCCGGACCTCCGCCCTAGAGAGACTCGGAGGGGCGCAAGACCGCCGAGGGGTCCAAGACCGCCTCGGGGGAAGGTGTTCCAAAGGCCTCAGGAAAGTGGCGGGTCCATCTCCAGGGCCAATGAAAGGCGTCCCCCTCAGGACAAAGGCAAGGCCCCTCTCCATGCCGACGACGCACGCCATCAAATAAATCAAGCCCACTCGGCCCGGGTCCATTCGCAGGGGGCGAAGGCCCTTCCGAAGGACCCCCGGGACGAAATCATTGCGGCCCTCCAGCGCCGGCTTGACGAGATGGAGGCCACCAAAGCCCACGCCGCCACTTCTGCCCCTCATACAGACCTCAAGTATGAGGCAATGATGGCCAAGATGGAAGAAATGCAGAAGAAAATAGTCGAGGGCTCCGGGGAACCCACCATACAGCTCCGGACCCGGACGCCGTTTACCCCAAGGGTATTGGCTACCCGGATCCCGCAAAAATACCGAGGGCAGCTCATCAAGCCCTGTGACGGAAAGACTGACCCCCAAGAACACTACAACAGGTATCAAAACAGCATGATGATGGTGGGGGCATCGGATGAATATTTGTGCCGCTGGTTCCTCTCCACCTTAGAGGGGTCGGCGTACGAATGGTTCAACCGATTGCCCGAGGGCTGTATTGACTCATGGCAAGAACTCGCCCAGCGATTCTTGACGCAATTTGCGGGAAGGCGCCGTACGAGAAAACACTTCTCCCACTTGCTGACAGTGAGGCAGAAGAAGGAGGAGACCCTTCGGGACTTCCTCGAGCGCTGGAGGACGGAGGCTGATAAAGTTGACGGCTCTGACGACGGAACCCTCATGGCCCTCCTCCAAACAGTACTCCGCCCTGGGAACTTCTCAAGGAGCCTCATCATCGAACCCCCCCCCCCCCCCCCCGCGATTATATAAGGGCCCTACAGCGGGGGGACCGGTACGCCGAGGCCGAGGAGGTTGAGAAATGCCACCATATCCCAGACCAGCAACGCCCTCGGCCAGAAGACAAAGGTAACCGAGGGCCGGGGGCTCCCCGAAATCATCCCAGGGATCCTGCCCCCTCCGGTGATCTCCCCCGGCATGGCCAAGCCAAGCCCGGGGGAGGCTACAAGGGGAACCCGAGGGCTTGGGCACAGCCTGTCCTCCTGGAGCACCCTCGGACACCGTTGACGCACCCCGTCAGCGTCATCCTGGATTTTGCTGAGGAGAGGGGTCTCGTGGAACGAGATTCACGCGCTCCCTCGGAAGTATTTGCCATCAATCCAAACTACCCCTACTGTCTTTTCCAGCGACACCAGGGGCACATGACCGATGATTTCCACCAGCTGAAGACGGCCATCGAGAGATTGATACAAGCTGGCCATCTGTCCCAGTTTGTCCAGGGCCCCCCGCAGCAAGGCCCCCCGCAGCAGGGGCCATCCCGAGGGCAAACTGCGAGAGCAAACGCATGGGTCAACCCCAACACCATCCCCCTCGGTAAGAAGAGGGAGATCGGGAACTTGGAAGAAGAGGAGGAGGAGTACCCCCGGTATCAAGAAAAGAAACGTCACATCCTCATGATCACAGGGGGAAATACCAGGGGTGACTCTACAAGTCAATGAAAGAAGTGGGCTCAATCACTTTACGTGGGGGAAGTCACTCATATGCCCCCAGTAAAGCGGCTGAGGGAGGAACCCATTGTCTTCACTAACGCTGATCTTCCCCCAGTATCCTCCCCACACAGGGATGCCCTCGTCATCCGCACAGAGATCAACGACACCATTATTCACAGAACTTACATTGACACGGGCAGCTCCGTCAATGTAATGTACCTCAGCACCTTCAGAGAGCTGCATCTG